AAAAACTTGTCGGTGAAATGAGCTTCGGTGAAATAAACTGTCGGTAAAATGAACTTGTCGATGAATAATTGTCGGTGTTGTCCATGAAATGATTGTCGGTGAAATAATACGGACCCGACCGTAACTGTAACTGTAACTGTAACTGTAAAATTAATTAGGACGATTCAATAATCCATACGCACCTAACAAATGTATTGTATAGCCGGGCGCGCGTTATTTAGGACGCGCATGAGCGTTATTTTGAGATCAGCCATGCTGTTTTAGGATTTTCGCACGTGTTTATAAATAACAGATACGGGTGACTATACGGGTACGATCAATAATTTATAATGGTATTAACCAAAATTACTTTTTGCAAATAACAGTCACTCAATAATTCATGATCGCATATTAGTAATTCCAAATATAAGCGGGATGTGTAATAAGAAAAGGTTTAAATTTGTGAAACTTTGCACAATGAATGCTATTCACTTATCAGATTTTATAAGAAAAGCATCCTCACGAATAATTATTACACAAAGGTCTTATTAGTTTTATTTAGTTCTATAAACTCATAATAAATAGGGTCACTCGTTCAAACTTCAGACCTTACAACCGAAAGTTATACATGTTAAAAGTTCTCTTGATTCAATTTTCATCATATTTTGCGAGGAATACGAAAAGTCAATTAGTAATAATACTAGGTAATAATACTTAGTAATGTAAATTTCCAAAATTTTAATGAATCCTGTATACATACGTTTCTCAAGTGAACGATGAATCCCTTTTTTTAAATTAACTGATTTTTCATATTTGTTGTCAAATCTCCTAATATCATTACTCTTTCCTACCTTTTTTTTTTTTTTTTTTTTTTTTTTTTTTCTTTTAAAATTACCATTTTAAACATAATACTGTATAAGAAGTCTACTGCTTTACTACTGCTTTACTAATTTTAGTCTTAGCAATTCTTGGCAATTCTAAGATACACGTTAAATTAAAATTTCAGATCTAATAATAAATGCTATATCAGTGTTGGCATTTTTGGTGTCTCGTCTACATCCACCATTTACAGAAAATATATTCTTCTAAACACTTTTTGCTTAGTAAGTTAACAATAGGTTACCATAATAAAATTAACCTAGTTTATTTGTTCAATACTATGTCGTGCAAATTCTAATTTCAGGTGCCTGAAGTAACCTTAAGGGGCGGGGCGGCTTTCACGGCATAATGCGCATATGTTTTTCCGTGTACAAACCCAATTGAATTTGGATGAATTCTCGAAATTTTGTTGATACTGTACATTTCAAATAATCTACAATTGGTCGAAAATTAATAATTTCATACACAAAACGTTTTATAATTTCAAATTGAACTTTTTAAGGTAGTTCATTGATGTTGAGAGACAGAGATGAGAATACGGTATGAAAGATTATATAACTTTATCAATGATAAGATAATGATAAGATTACATTGCATTTCTGATTATTAGCTGGCTAAAAAATCTAGTATTCAAACCAAATATTATATCAAAAATTTCAGTAAAAAATAGTCAATAACCCTATGATTTTCCAGGGTTTCCAGTGCTGTACATGCTGTACACGTGACAATGCACGGGGATCTCCACGACGACGTAGATGATCGCCTACAAAGATATTCGGTGGTTGACGATCATCACTTTTAATTAATAACTTTAAAGCTGTTGTTCTTGGGTTTACGGCATTTGGCGTAAAATCTAGCTAGTTTTACATTTTGGTAAATTATTAATTGTAGGGGAAACTGCCGAAATGTTGTACAACAGCAATATGATAATTAACATACCCGAACATAATGTGTTATATATTTGTGCATATGTACGTACATACGTACAAAGAAAACAATAAACATAGCACATCATTGTGGGTTATTCGGGCTATTTTTTTAACTTTAACGGATTAACTTAACTTCGAATCTAAAGGAAATTAGTGTTATAAAGCATATTGCAATTTATATTAGACCAATCAAATTCACATAAGAATGAATTCAAAATAGTAATGATGTTTGGTAATTTTATTCATGTATTCTTTCAAGAAAAAATTCGGTTTAATTGATTTAGAAAGCTTGCATATTTTAAAAGATTTATTAGGTTTAGTATGTCTTTTGGTGATCTAAATAAAGGCTCGCAAATCCACATGAATAATTAAACTTTGCACTTTTTTGGGATTTCGATTATTATTTTGTTTACCATGCGTGGTATACACGTCATTATTTAGATATTTTAATTATAAATTTTAATGTAAAGTCTAGGTAAAACAATACAGTACCTTTTTTGTAATACACATTATATATTTTCAAGGAGTGCAGTAGTATCACATATGATTAATTTTTAAATATATATTCTGCATTTTGACCGTTATTAAAAATCAGGGCGAATACATTTAGATTCCGATATATATTAGGCAACTCTCTTATTCTTCCTTCCTTCGTTAAAAAATTTCTTAAAAAATTAAATATGAGTCAATATTATACAAATTCAAATTCCACTCTTCCTGGAGAAGTAATATGTCGACCTGGAACTACGGGAAATGGAACTTGCATGTGTGATTGGAGAGTTCAAATACGCGGTTAGCATTAATTTCTAAGTTTTTTTAAAAAAATTGTTAGCATTGGCTTTTACTTTGTGATTATGTATTCAAATTTTACGAGAGTATATATTGTCATTGATCATGTATAATTATGAAAGGCGAGAAAACATTAAAAGTATAAAAATCTTGTATTTGTACTTATAGGCAAAAATTGGGTTTACAAAACTATGTTTCGCATTTCGTAACGACTTCATAAAGATCTGTCTGTGTTTTTACCTATCAAATACACAATGTATGCGCGTATTTAATAATGTAATTCATCGGGTTCACTTTTACATTAGAATAATTAAGATAATCGATACTCAGTAATACTAACAAGCAAAAAAATTTTTGATTAATAAATCCAGATTGTCCATCTGAGGGTACTTTCATTGAAAATTTATATCTAGTAAACACGCTTGCGTGTTTTATAGTGTTTATTATGCTTACTGGATTACTTATTTGGAGAATGGCTGTAAAAGGACAAGGACTTATCTCCAAAGATCCTTTAAAAGAGATGGGAATATTGCGCCCAAAGCCTCTTGAATGTTTTCTGCTACTGAATATTTTTCATGTTGCATGTAAGTTTTAGTATTTACTCACATAATATATTTATAATATATTTATAATATATTTATTAAATATATTTATTAAATATATTTATTAAATATATTTATTAAATATGAAATTTTTTCATTAATTAACAAAATAATGTTATTCATTATATATAGTTCGGTTATTGTATTCAGTTTGTTTAATTAGTGATTTTTTACCATTAAACGTACTTAAAGAACGTAAGTATTATTTTTATTGATGTATTTACTTTTCATAAACAAACACTATTCTTTTATACTTATAAAATATTTTTATTTAGTTATACACGACGTAACATTCACAATATCATTGGCTTCATTGGCCATATATCTCATCGGTTTGATTTATACAATACCGCGAACTCATATTGCTGCACAGCGTGCAGTTATATCTGGTGCTGAAAAAAAAACATTCAATTTGGGTCCTTCGACCACAGATGATAGATGCTTTCGCTTTCTTCCTATTTTTTGGACTGATTGGTTTAAATGTTTGCGCTTTAATTTCGGGAATATTTATGGATCATAATAACGTACAAATGGCAGAAACTTGGATTACCATTCATTACTTGGGATGGAGTTTTTTTTGTTGGATTATAATTTTTGGAATTCTTTATTTTGGGAAAAAGTTGATTAATATAATAGAAAAACATATTCAGGTATGTTAATTGTAGAAATTATTATTATTTACTTATTTATTTATTTATTTATTTTACTTTATTTTTAGGATGCTAAAGGATATGGGAAGGCATCTTCGTCAAAACTTAAAAACCTTGAATTTGGCTTAAAGAAGGTTTGTTTTTATTACTATTAATAAACTCTTATTCCATTTTCAATTATCTAAATTCTAAATTACTTATTTAATTTTTTCAGCTACGACGAGTTCGTGTTCTATTATTAAGCGATTTATTCTTTTTTGCAATAGCATCTTTAGTTTTTGCATTATGTCGAAACTTTATTCTTACATATTCGCCAGCTCTTTCGCTTATATTAGCAACATGCTGGATATTAATCGTTCCGTTGACGAACGCAGTAATAATTACGGTACTGGCATATGAAATAAATGAAAAGGCCAAAATGCCACCTTTACGACCAAAGACAACAACATTTAATCAATCTAGAAGTAATGAATATTATACTGCGAATGCAGTACCAAAATATCCTGGAAAAACCGTAAAAAATGATAGAAATTATCCAAATGACAGCAAAGGAATTACTGTACGTTTTGAACAAACAATCGAACAAACAATCTCAAACAGCAGCATTCCATTTTCTCCTGATTCAAAAGCATTAGAAAGGGAACAGGATTTCGTAGGATCTGCTAGTGATCAATCTCATAGTGCTATTGTATCTGAGGGGGAAAGCAGTGATTCAATAGAACTTGTAGTAAATCCTAAACATCATCAACCATATCCATCGGAAAATTATTTTTAAATAATTAATCAAATTAAAATCTGTGCAAACCTTCAAACCTATAACTGCAGAAATTGAATGCTATTTCTGTACAAAGCTTCAAATTTGCAAATATACAGATTTTGAAAATTTACACTTATTTAATTTTCCCGATGTCAATATCAACCATCATTTCTGATGAAATCCCTTTTTAAAAAATAGAACAATGTAACATAACTATACAATACTACAATACTACACAATAATATAGAAATATACTAGTATATTTTCATGCATTTCAATTCATGTAATTTTATAATATCATATTATACTGTTTAGCATTATTAAGATTTATACGTCATTATTTATATTCTATGTTTTATATTTTGTATATATATACGCTATATTATATTTTTACGTTGCCTATTATTTTCTATAATATTTACCATTATTAAATAGCTATCTCACACAGTAGGCACAAAAATAACGTCCGATTATTAATAAACCAAAATTTTATGTATAAACGGATTTCACATTTCTGTCCTATTGCTATATATATTAATTTGTTTGTAAACAACTATCTTTTGTATATCCAATACTGCCACCAGTTGTACTCATTTGTTTTATTTGTTTTGTAACACATGGAAAAAAATTTTAAACTCATATCTTAGTGGTAAGGTATATTTTTAATTCCTAAATCAATAATTATTATAGCGTTTGCAAAAAGATGTGACCCAATGATTTTTGTAATGAGATTCGAAATTATCTATTAATCATATTACATTTATATTTTATTTGAAATTAATAAAATTCTTAAATTTTTGCAAAGCCAAAATTTTACCGAAATTGAATTATTTATATCGTGATTTTTCGGGTTCCTCCGTTGCAAAATTTTACCGAAATTGAACTACATGATATATAATCGTGATTTATCAGTTTTCTCCTGATGCAAAAACATTTACTTGTCCTAATAAACCATTTAACAGTAATTGTAACTTTAAGCATCTATAAAAGTAAAATTATTTTAAAATGTGGAAAGATTCCAAAATGATCTTAATATTAAAATCAGTTGCACGCACTTTTTAGTCATACAATAATTTGTAATTTGAATTTTTGAATTTTTAATAGTTATTCTATTATTAATATTAAATATTTTGATCACAAATTATCGCGTGACTAAAGGTTCTCTCAAACATCTAAGTTCATATTAATTTCTAGTGTTCACATTAATTTCTAATTAGTGGAATATGGTTTAACCGAGACGAAAAGATAGTCAGAGACAATATAAGTTGAATATTATTATGTAAATAACAAAACAAAACATTTTAAGGGGGATCAGCTATTCCCACACCCGGATATTTCCCGCATATTACATAAGCGTATCGTTATAGCAAAATGATTACATTATCCATTATGAGTTAGATTATTATGATCACATATCGATATAGTAATATTGCTATAATTGAAGAATTTTATTGGCTAAAATTTAATATCCGCATTTCTCAACATGAATCAGAAATAAGGATCACTTAAATTAATCGTAGTACTGTACTTGTGCATAAGAATGCTAACGACTCAATTGATTAATCGGTTTCTATAATAATAAATATACAAGTCGTGTCAAGCCGTTAGCATCCCTACTTGTGCACAATCTCCCTATAAGAAATTTATCCAAATATTTCCATTATTTTTACATATTTTTTTGTAAAAACTCTGTGAATCTGCAACTTAATTGACAAAATCTAGACAAGCCGAATAAATTCCGTGAATATGCAAAATTAACATACAGATCGATCGACTTTTTTCGATCATTACATCAAAAGTTGAACCAAACACAATCCTAGGCCCGCTAAACAGCAATATTAAATAAGTGCTTAAATTTAATATTATTAAAGTACTTTAAATTTTAAATTATATTAAGTTTTATATTTATAATATATTTAATAAGCGTTTATGCAAATACTTAACAAGTATTTTTTAAATGCTTTGACAAACTTTGTGATGTAGCCAATCGCATAGAGAGGAATGCTTGAGAGCACCCTAAAAAAGTGCATATCTTGATGAGGATATTACCCAATTTAATGCCAAAAGGTATTATGGAACTTCAAAAGCTTGTAGAATCTAGAATCTCATATTCTTATATAATTTTACTTGGCTTCTTTTCATAATATCAACGCCCAAAGTTTAAATTTTTATTACAAGCAAATATTTTATATCAGATATAGTCAAAATCATGTGATGTAATTTCAATAATAATAATAATATATTATTATTATTATTATTATTATTATTATTATTATTATTATTATTATTATTATTATTATTATTATTATTATTA